TCCGGGCGGGCAGGCTGGTTGCCGCGGGCCAGGCCCCGGGGCGGGGTCCCAGCGCGGGGCCTCGGGCCGCCACCTTCGAGCTGCCGCGCCGGAGGGAGAGCGCGCCCGCACGGCCCCGGGGGAGGGCCGTATCCTGGCCTGCAAGTGCCCCGAGGTTTCTTTTCTTTCAAAGCTCCCAGGCCAGCTCGACCCCTGCTGCCTCCTTTCTAGCCGGCAGGGAGCCGGCCCCGTGGACGTCGTCCGTCCCCACCCGCGTCCCTGCCGCCCCCACTGCTCCTGTCGCCCTAGAGCTGCTTGGCAACGAACTAGGACCCACGCTCCTCCGCCGCTACACCGCTGTCTGTGAGGTCAGATTAGGAAACTTAACCTCAGCCTTTCAAGAAACAAAGCGTGGTCTGACCACTTGGGCCCTTGCCCAGGCCTGAGGCAAGGACCGTGGCAGGGAAGGCATTCTTCAGGTCTTGCATTTGAACACTTGCCTAACTTTCTTCCAGCTGTGAAGTTGGCCCAATAAAAGACATTGCCTAAAAAAACCCTTGCCTCTGGCCTAATTCCTGAACCATCACAGTGTCGTTCTAGCACAACCTTCTTCCATGAAACGTGGCTGACAGGTTAGGGAGCCAAAGGTGACACGGGGCTAGTTGCAAGGAAACAAACACCAGGCCTAGACCCTGTAAGCGACAGTGCAAGTATGACACTGCAGTTCTGCTTAAGCAAATAGGCAGATATCCCAAATCTAAACCAGGCTAAACTAGCTGCAGACTTGCAAAAAAAGCAGGATTTAGGGTTGCAGTGAAATCCCAACCCTACAGAAGTTGGTAGGAACTTTTCCATTGGCTTCAGATTTTCCCTCTACCTGCTACTGTGCAGGACTCAGGTGAGCTCCAGGGGGGGCACACACCAAAAGGTTCCTTAGAGGGTATGGTGCAACTCTAACAGAGCTGGGGATAGTCCTCATGGTGCACGAATGCTCATGCTGCCAGCATCTACAAAGTCCCCATTGTTTCTGGTCAATAGCTCCTTCAGGGATACAATGCCTCAGCCTATTTCCTATAAAATGGGTTGTCAACCAGGGGTACACATACCCCCAGGGGAAGTTAGGCTGTAGGGGGTACGCACAGCCAGGCGGGAACAGAGCACACCCCAGGGTGTAGCCTCCCCCCATGCACTCCCCTACTTTACTTCTTACTAGGGGAAGGGGAGCGCCAGGTGCTGCCAGCCCCATGTGGCACACCGCAGCCCCTTCCCACTCCCATCTGAGTTTGCTCTCTGTGCCACCCACAGTAGCACGGATGGGGGGAGCAAGGGCAGCGGTGCCCCTCTGTAGACGGGGCACACACCACCCAGATGGGCTAGTGGGGCTCATATGTGGCAGCTACCACCACCCCACACTGCCATGCTGCTTCCCTGTGTCAGCACCCTGCACAGCCATACGTGCAACTGGACACGGAAAAATGGAGTGGGGTGGTGGCAGCCACCATGTATGAGCCCTACCTCCCCCAGGCAGCGTGTGTGCAGCCAACAGAGGAGCACTGCTGCCCTCACCCCTGTGAATGCAGCTCTTGGGGCAGCGGGATACAGAGGCCAGCCTGTAACAGCAGCTGCCTCCATCCTGTGCACAAATCTGGGGGGCATGTGTCCCCTGGACCTCCACCGGGGTGTGCGTAGCAGCAGGAACTGCTCCCCCCCCAATGCATGAGCCACTCTTGCGGCTCCGTCCAGCACTCTGCCATGGCTGTGCAGTGCCTGCCCTAGCCCCACTCCCTCCCTCACCACAGGAGCTTTGATCTGCCCCTTAGAACCAAGAAAAAAAAAATATGAAGCAGTACATGAGCTGAAGCTTTGAGGCAGAAGGGGTACACTTGTTTAAAAAGGTTGAAAACCCCTGCTATAAAGTAACAAGTGGCAAAAAGTAGGCTCTGTCCCAAGATCAGAGCTGCCCAGGGCATGACTGCTCTACACAGTAAGAAAGGAGTAGATTATATAATCCAGGCCCTCGGTGCACAGGTGAAACAGGAAAGTCAAGTTTATTTAGACAGGTATAGTTAAAGCAGAAAGGAAGTGATGACAAATTGTTACACTGCTTATTTCTGAAGTTGGATGCTCACATTTAAAACCAACACAAGGGCAATCCTTCCACCAGGTAAAAGCAGTCCCACTTTCCTGATCAAATGCCAGGGTGGATAACATGTACAAAAGGCTTTCCTACATCTGCAGGGAGACAATACAGTTACAGAGGAGCGCTAGCGTTAGGCCTGGGGCAACCAGCCTACAGGGCGCATGCCCCATGTAGCATAGACAGCCTTTCTGTGTGAGAGGACAGGCAGCACAAGTTAATGGCAAGGAGCAGAAAACAAAGCAGAAAACCAAGCAGGGTAAGGTAAAAAGTGACTGTTGAGGAGGGTGGCTAACAAAAATTGTTGGCCCTCCATTGTTGTTCAACTGTGGCTATTCTTTCCATGCTCCTGCAGACACCTATGACTGAAGCTAAGCTGGGCCTCCTCACAAACATTAAAATACAAAATATTGATGACAAGTGCATAAAGCAAGAGGATGCAAGTTTACAGCTAGACCTTATGAAACGAAATAATAAGGCTTCCAGCTTATTTTAGCATACCTATACTGATTTTAAGCAGGCTCCTACATGTCTAGTATGTAATTGAGTGAAATGTCTATTCTTGATTAATTAGTATAGTAAATATTTCTTTGTCATTAACTTATGTTTATAAGCAGTGGGGCAGGGCACTGTTGGTGCTGGCCACTTTAAGGGTTGGAGCAGGCAGCAACCAGGTACTTGAGTACAGCACCCATTTTGACCCCAGATACACACGCGCACACACGTTTCCCTCGATTTATGCAGGTTCTTTATATGCAAATTCACTCTTAGGTGATGAGTGTATTTAGACCATAATTCATTATATTTGAGGTAAAATTGCTCTTATCCAATCAGCATCCATGCCCCCCTCCCCTCCCCCCAGCAGGTAAGTCTTTGTGGGGAGGGGAAAGGGCCATGGCCCCACCCACCCCAGCCCCGGCTGCAGCGGCCCCAGGAGCGGCCAGCGCCAGCTGCCTGCAGCTGCTGAGCTGCACTGTGTTCTTCCTGTCCCCGTGGCTGGGCTCAACCCAGCTCCTGGGCTGTGCCATGCCATGATGCAGGCAGCTGGTGTCAGTTGCTCCAGCACGGGCTGGGGTGAGTGCGGACAAACAGAGCCCCAGGTGGTACAGGACATAGCACTCACCCCAGCCTCGGCTGTAGTGGCCCCAGGAGCAGCTGACACCAGCTGCCTGCACCAGGGCAGAGCACAGCCCAGGAGCAGAGTTAAGTGGGGCGGGCAGAGTATAGTGCAACCCAGTCTGCAGGCAACTAGCATCAGCCGCTCCCAGGGCCGCTGCTGCTGTGGCTGGGGCGAGTGCCGCTCTGTTCCCTCTGCTTTGCTGCCTTGCGCCACCCTGGGAGCGGCACCCCACCCCCCACCCCTTCCCTAGTCCCAACCCATCCCTACTTGTTACATTGTAAAGTGGGTTCGCTTTATGTGCATTTGATTTACGCACCGTTCTCCAAGAACATATGCAGCATAAAATCAAGGGAAACCTGTATAGGTCGAAACAGGAGTTTGCAGCTGTCAGCCATGGAACATCAGCTGGCAGAGCCGAGGCCCCAGCTAGGAGGCAAAGACAAGAGCTTATGGGGATGGCTAGGAGGCTCTTGGTCCTGGGCATGACCTAAAACTACACCCTGCCAGGGATGGGTAGCCTGGTGGGGCTCCTAGTGGTGTGGGAGCCCCCAGGATATGCCAGGCCAGTGCAGTGAAAGGTGGGTCAGGGTGCCTTGATAACCCCAGCTCCCACAAGCGTGTGGATAACCCCATAGTAGGCCCAGGAACATGGACCCATGTGAGACAGGGGGCTAGATGCTCAGAAGCCTGACTTGAGGCACCCTCAACTGGTCAATGTTGGGGCCAGGGCCAGAAGGGTCAAAAGGGCCAGGGGCTGACTGCGAGGGAAGCCCAGAGCAAAGGGCCTGGGGTTCTGACTGGCCTTGGGAGGTGAGGCCAGGGCCTATGTGGCCAAAGGTCCCGGGGGGGCCACACCTGAGAGGGGGGAAGAGTGCAGTGAGCTAGACAGCCCAGAATGAGGGCAGAGTAGGCCACCTGATAGGAGGGATCCAGTTGGGGTCCAGACTGGAGGGGTATGGGGCCCAGTGTGCGGCCAGAGACATCAAGAACTTAGATGCCATCTGCAAGGCATGGGCTGCAGTGTAGAGGAGGCTTCGGAGCAGCAGATAACGCCCTCTGGCATTGGGGCAGGAAATGGACAGCCTCCTTCCTGTGTAATATCTTAATCATTTTCCATCAAGACATGACAGGCTAGAGGCAAGCAGTTAGCCCAGAAACAGGTGGGCAGGCCAACTTCTAGCTGACCCTAGGAAGGGCCCTGTTACAAGCAGGAAGAGACATTCTTCATAAGGGTTTTGATAGGCATCGCCTCCTGATTTCCTTTTGTTTTGCCTCAGTGGTTCCCTTGATCTTCCAGGGACAACTCCTCAAAAGCTTTGTTTTTTCCTGATTGTTAATCAATGTCTTGATGTTTCAACTGGGTAGGAATTGATAACCTCCTTTTACTGAGGAAGGTAATTCAATAGAAATTGGCACTTTCTGAAAACCAGTAATGAACATTTGATTAACACGATTTTCCTGTTAA